TAGCTGGAGTAGTAGTAGTAGTAGTAGTAGTAGTAGTAGTTGTAATAGTAGTAGTAGTAGTAGTAGTAGTAGTAGTAGTAGTAGTAACTGAAGTCTGCTGGACAGTCAACCTCTTCTCCATGTCGTTTCATAACATGAGGGCGCCTCAATTCACTAGCATAGCGTCTTTTGGGGTCTGTTGCAGGGTCAGAGGTTTGTGGGTTTAACCGAGGGATGCACCAGAAATTCTTCCCAGGTGCTCATCGGACCCCAAACTCTATAAACCCTAAGCCGGACGGTCTCGAGCGCGCGGCTCAGCGTACCCGACGCATCCGACAGCGCCATCTGAAAGGCGTGCACCTCGAAGTATCAAGCGACATCTCACCATCCCCTGAAACGCGAACCCCAGAATACCCACATCCCCAATGTAATTAAGCCTCGGGGCTTGAATCCTCATCTCGAAGCCCTTCACTTCAGAGCCGCTCAGCCCAAAATTAGGCCCCCAAATAAGCCCCGAAGCCTGTCTAAACGAGAACACTACGTCTTGAAACCTCGAGCTATAAGCCTAAACCCAAACCTTCCGAAGCGAAGCTCCAATCCGTTGAGGCCGGAATCCTAAAACACCAAACCCCCAAGCATCTTTCGAAAACCCTATGGATGTTGGACCCTAAACTCGTCAATCGAACTGTTGATCGATGGACCCCGAAATCTTAGGGGTGTCAAGAGAGGTTTGGGGTTTTTGCCTTTTCTTGCTGAGAGTTTCGGGGTTGGGTTTCAGAGTCTAGGGTTAAGGGTTCAATCTAGAGTTTCGTAGCAAAAGATATCTCAACCGTGAACTTCCAAACCACAGCAAGTGCTAGCAACCCGGAAGCAGCCCTCATTCTGACAAACCTTATATGCCGTATGAGCCCTATAAGCCGAAATTCAAACGCAACAGCCCGGAACAGCAAACCCTAATGAGCCCTAAACACTAAACAGTAAAACCCAATACCTTCATCCCAAAAACTCTTACTCGAAAACCCTGCACGCCCAAACTTTTTTAAACCCTCGAAGCCTTGATCCCAAACCCTGTAGCCCTACAACCCCGGATACTACAAACCCTTGTCGGCCTGGAGGCCGGGTTCGCTTCGGAGCTGCAGAGGTTCGGCCTGGACTTGGGCTTTGGGGCTTTGAGGGTTTGAGGGTTTAGGGTGTAGGAGGTTTAGAGTTTGGGGCTTTGGGGTTTTGAGGGTTTAGGGTTTAGGGTTTAGGGGATTTAGAGTTTAGGGCTTTGAGGGTTTAGGGTTTAGGGGGCTGAAGCTACTGACGTAGTTCTCTAAATGAGGGTTCCCTTTTGAGGGTGCTTTTTACAAGGGTGTGCCGTACTATACTTGGGACCTAGAAAGGGGCCCTACTTCAGAGAACTACCTACTTTATATTTCAGAAGGACCAGCTGACAATAGCGCGGAAAAAGGAAATGAAGATGAATCCAAGCCCTCGGGCCGGAAGCTCGTAGTGCTCAATCACATCGATGCCGGCCTGCTGCTCTTCACAAGGGACAGAGCTTGGGGCTTAGGGTTACAGTTTGAGGGTCTAGTGTGAGATAGTACAAGTAAATGGCTGTGGTGCGTGTGGGGTTCAGCTTTGAGGCTTCAGGGGTAACCCTAAACCCTAAACCCTAAACCCTAAAAGGAGCTTGCGGTTCAGCCTTCACACCCGGTGTGTCAACCTCTGAGGCGATGGATGTGGGCGAGACAGGTCGGCATAGAGCTGGCCACTGAACCCGTCAACGCATACGGATCCCATCCCACCCCGAAGGCTTGTTTTGTATTCCACCTGCCGACACCCTGAACGGTCTCCGAAGCTTAGGTCCCTATAGCGCCTAGGCATTGAACTCCCAAAGCCGATACCCTTCAGCCTGCAACCCCCAAAACCTCCCAAACCCCAAGACCTCCAACACCCCACACTAATAACTAAAATTTATAGGGTTTGGGGGCCCTAAATCCAAAACCCTAAACCCTACCCGAAGGCTCCTGGACCCTTGTAGTGAGATCCCAAACGCAAGCACCCAAAGCCGAACCCTCCCCCAGAAAGCCCAAGACCCTCCTAGGAGCCTTAGGGTAAACCCTAAACCCTAAACCCCAAACCCTAAATCCTAAACCCTAAACCCTACCCAAACCCTAAACCCCCAACAAACCCACACAGACAGCACCATTTTTGGCACAGGGCCTGGCCTCTCGGCAGGTCTGCACGGCGAGTTGGAAAACTTCTGGCCTGGGATGCACAAAGGGGGGTTGGGATGCTTGTATTTAGGGTTTAGGGTTTTGCAGGGTATTTGGTTTAGGGTTTAGGGATTCGTCGTCGTAGTCGTAGCAGCGGAAGTAGTGGTCGTTTTGGTGGTGGTGGTGGTGGTGGTGGTGGTGGTGGTGGTGGTGGTGCGGTGGTGTTTCTTTCCACCACTCTTTGGAATCAACAGCGCTGTGCCGCGTTTGGCCTCTGTCTTCCGCAGTTTCCTAGTAGGCAACTACGTTAAGAACGGTGTAATTTGGGTTCGCATATCTGCTATACTGCACTATACTATACTTTACTATACATACTATACTATACTATACTATATCTGCAATAAGGAGTCCCAGAGGGTTGTGTCCCCGATGCTGGGTTATCTTGGTTGGAACCAGAACTGCTTCGCCCTGCCACCTTTGCCCGAAGCCAAAGAAAGCAAACATAGGGGCTTTAATAACTGGAGCAGTGTTTGGTGTTCATTGTAGTGTGAGTCGAATAGGGAACCCTAAGGACTGAGGACTACTATCGGTAGTTGTATGGGTAGTTCTCTAACTGAGGGTCCCCCAATATAGTACGGCACCCTTATAAACAGGACCCTAAAAGGGACTCTAAGCTAGACCCATACTAGCTGATGCCAGAAAAGCAGTCATAGCGAGCCCTGCAAGTCGAACAAGCCCGGGCAGCCGGGCGCAGGCTCGAAGGCCAGCGAAGTCACCGGCCGAGTAGCCAGCCTTAGCTTAAGCCCTAGAAACCCCACACCGATGGGATAAGAGAGAATAGGAAGAATAGTTAGCATACATATAGCTAATTATGTATGTAGGATTTTGTGGAGATGGCCCAGCCTTTGCGGCCAAAACTGGTACTAGGTCGAGGAGCCGTTGCAGATGCAGCTCGAAGACGCCTGAGCAGGGCTTTGGGCCCAGGCGTGAGCTAGCGCAGCTACAGTTTGTGCTGCCTGCTTCAATCCATGACCTTCCTTTAGCCCTGAGCAAGACAGAATTAGCATCCACGGCGGGAGCCTGTGAAAGAAAGCTCGAAGCTAAACGCCCGTTCGTGTGCGCTTCAAGGAGAAACCCATATGGAAGATGCGATTCCCATCGTGCCATTCATTGAGTGATTCAAGGGGTACCTCAGAAACGTATTTCTCGACCTCTGCACCCTGATGCGCCTAGGTTCATTCCGGCATCCACGACCACAAAAGGTTGGGACCTCCGGGCAGCACGGGGACACGGAAAAGAACATGCTGCGGTTAGTGGCCACCGCCACCTACTGCTACTTCTACTTCTCAGAATGCGACGACTCTGCTGCTACTTGTGCTCTGACGACCCCCCCTTCCCCCATCACCATCGGAATGCCTCCGCTACAACCCAATCACCGCTTCCACCAGCCAAAAGGCTTACCCCCTATCCACACTCGAGTCTTCATGATCACCATCCTCATAATGAAGTCGCGGCGCCCATCCCTAGACCCCACAAAACTCAAATCCTCGTCATACCCTAACCCCTAAACCCTAAACCCTAAACCCTAAACCTCTAAAACCCTAAACCCTAAACCCTAAACCCTAAACCTCTAAAACCCTAAAACCCTAAACCTCTAAAACCCTAAACCCGGACTTTGTTGTTGCGCCGCCTGTCTTCCTGCAGCTGTGCAAGCGGCAACCCGGCCCACTCAGGTGCCTCGCAGGGCAAAGCTGCGCTGCCCATGTACGTTTAGGGTTTGGGGGTTAGGGTTTGGGGTTTAGGGTTTGGGGTTGAGGAGTCTGGGCTTTAAGGGTTAGGGGTTTGGGGTTTAGGAGTTTAGGGTTTAGGGTTTGGGGTTTCGGAGTTTGGGGTTTAGGGCCGTTTGGGGTCTGGGTTCGGGGCTTTCAGGAGAAGCCCGATTTCTGAGACCCTCCCAACGAGGCCTGCAGCGGTAAGGGGCCGTAGCAGCGACTGGCAGGATGCAATCAAAACAGAGGGCTGTCAACAGGGCTTTCAACTACCCGAGAACTAGATGCAAAGGCTTGTCAGGTTGACTTCAACTGATTGCACCGTCAAGGTGTGCTTTGGCCGTGCATCCGGATTGCGCGGGTCGTGTGAGGTGCAGCTCGATCTCCAGTGCATCTGGCGAGCCTGCAGAAAATCTCGTTGTACTCGAAAAGGGCCTCCTGCCAAGACGAGGGTTTGACACGATGGGCTCCGGTATGCAGGGCTCCATGTTGACAATGATACTTGTCACGCCAGCCGATGAACCCAAAACCGACCCTAAACTAAACTCGTCATGTAAGTGGGTGAAACCGACACCCTAAACCCCAACACTTGTCAAGCAACTAAATGAAAAAACCCTAAACCGAGTTGCAGGCGCCTCTGGATTGGGTGCCCAAGCCTTGAGCCTTAGCAGGTCTGAAGGGCTCGCGGATTTGGGTTTAAACTCCTTCTGATTTCATCCATCCCAACCAACTCACCTCCTCCTCTTCGGAACACAGAACGGGGATTGGAGATGAACAGCTCATCATGTTGGCGAGGGAGGCTGGCCCGCTTTACGGGTGCCCGATCACTTCTGTCTTT